TAATTCCATTCAGTATATTTTCATTGCATCACTTCAGATACTGTATTTTTGACTTGTAGAAGCAAATTTGGGTTATTTAAAAAATATCTGGGCCTTTTCTCTTTATCATGTTCAATTTTCCTTGGTCTACTGAACATATGAAGTGTATTTATAATCGCCCTTTTAACATCCTTTCTGCAAGTTCTCTCATCTTTGTCATTTCTGGGTCAGTTCCTAATGACTGATTTTTCTCCAGGTTATGGGTTATATCTGCCTCCTCTGCATGCCTGGTCACCTTTTGCTGGATGCCAGACATTGTGAATTTCACGCTGTTGGTGCCAGATTGTGTTGTGTGTTTTAAAAAGTGCTGGCTTTTGTTATTGGACACAGTTAAGTTACTTGGTACCCTTTGAGGCTTACTTTTTGTCAAGAATTAATAAGCAGAGGAAACTGGGGGGCTCATCTTATTTTCCTTCTCTCAGGAATTACTGTCCTGTGCTGCCTGTTATCCAGTCTCTGAAAACCATCATTTCATACGTTTCCCAGTTTGCTAGTTGTTTAAGATGAGAGAATAAGTCCAGTCCCAGTTACACCATCGTGACCAGAACAAGTCTGAAAAAAGGAGCAACTGCCAAAATAAGACAGCAAGATTACAAGATATAAGTTCAAAATACATGATCAATTGTATTTCTATATACTACTAGCAAATGTTTTGAAAATAAAACTTTCAAAATAATTTCACTTACTAAAGCATCAAAAAATATAAGTACTTGGGAATAAATGTAACAAATGACATGTAAAACCTCTACACTGAAAACTATGAAGTATTTCTAAAAGAAACTAGGTAAGACCTAAATAGTTGTATCCTACTCGTGGACTGTAAAATTCAACGTTGTTAAAATGTCAATTTTCCCCAAACATACCTACAGATTTACATTAATCCCAATTACAATTCCAGCAAGTTTTTTTTAAATAAAAATTGACAGGTTGAGTCTATATACTTATACATATGGAAATGCAAAGGACCTAGAATAGCCAAAACAGTCTTGAAAAGACAAGGAAGATATATACTACCTTACTTCAAGACTTATAAAACTAAAGGAATCAAGACAGTTTATTGTTAGCATAATAATTAACAAAGAGATCAATGGAACAGAACTAAGACCAGAAATAGAACCACATCTATACGGTCACTGATTTTCAACAAAGCTCCAAAGCAATTTAAGGGAGAAAGAAAAGTCAACAAATGTTACTGGGAGACCACATGAGAAAAAAAAAACTGACCTCTATCCTACCTCAACCAAACACAAAAATTAATTCAAAATTGATTCCAGACATAAACATAAAAGCTAAAAGTATAAAGCTTCTTAGAAGAAAACATAGTTACAACCTAAATACCCATCAAAAGAAAAACAGATCAACAAGTTATGAAATATTCACACAGTATAATGCTATCCTGTACCCCCCCCCAAAAAACCCTGCTACTGATAATATGCAACAACAGAACCTCACAGACATCATACCATTATATTGAGTGAAGGAAACCAAACAGTGTATGATTCAATTTCATATGAAATCCTAGAATAAGCAAAATGAATATATGGTGAACATTTCAGAACAGTAGTTGCCTCTACGGTGAGAGAAATGACTGGAAAGCGGCATGAGGGAATGCTCTTGTGTGATGAAAATCTGCTAAATCTTGATTAGCAGGTGGTTACAGTTATGATGCATTTGTCAAGATTCACTGAATAGTATACTTAAGAGTTCTGCATTTCATGATTTACACATTTTACCTCAACAACAAAAAATAAAACTTTAAACAAACATTGACCTCTAATTAGCAGGCTTGCTTTAGACCATGGTTCAGTTTACCAGTTATAAAAACTACTTGTGTTTTCTCTTGTGTGAACAAACATATAAACATATTAAACCATAACGGTTGTCCACTCTTGGTAAGATATATAGATTTCCTAACTGTCTGCTCAGAGGGACTAAAGCAATGACATACGATAGCAATAAATACAACCTGTAATCAGATCTTGGTTTCTCAATACCCTCTCCACTAAAAGGAACCAGTCCCCCTTGGAGAAACGACTGCTTCTAGGGTAAGAAAAGTACAAGAGCCACATGGAACACCTATGTGCTCAAAAGTAAGGAACTGCCCCAAAAATGACGAGGACACGTCGAAAGGACAAAGAAGCCACCAAGAAGAGGTTCCCACTGACAGTTCAACAGTGACCCAGCTCCTCCAGTAATTTTTCTGTCACCTCATCAGTGGGCTGCATGTTCCTGTGGCAGGAACCACACCCTATCTTCAAAGGTCTTAACCTCTCCCCTGTGGTTGGAAAGGTAGCACTTCCTCTAAGTTTCTAAGTTGCTTCCTTGCTAACTCACCTTCAGCCCTCGAAGCAGCAGCTGCATTTTGTAGTTGCTACTTCTACGTAACTTCTGTGTAACTTAGAGTCCTCTCTTAACCCCTTTTAGTAATTGATTATTTTTTACTAAAAGGTAATTCTTCATACTGAATTTTTCCTTAAAGTCACACATGTGGTATCTGTCTTCCAGTTGGGTCCCGACAGATACAAGGACACATCACTCCTCTCTTCATCCCATCAAGAAATGAATCCCTAAATATAACCAAGAGGAGACGTCGGACAAACCCAAAATGAGAGGCAATCTACAAAACAAGTGACCAGTACTTTTCAAAATTTCAAGATCAGGTAAGATAAAGAAAAATGACAACTAATTGCAACATGTGACTCTGACTTGGCTTCTGTGATTAGGAATAGGAAGTAATTATAAAGTTTACTGAGACCACTGATGAAAATTTGAATATGGACTATAGATTAGATAATGTTGTACCAATGTTAGAGTTGTTAATTTTGATAATTATACTGTGGTAATGTAAGAATGCCCTTATTCTTAGGAAATACACACCAATGTACTTAGTGGTAATGGGAAATTTAACCTTTAGATAACTCAAAATTAACATGTGTGTTAGGGTGTGGGGAGAGAGAGAGACCAATAAAGCAAATGGGGCAACACTTCTAAACAAGAAAATTTACCCTCTGTGTGTGGGAGGAGGGTGTGGATGTGGGCAGTGTGGGGAGCATCCTTGTTAAGGGTGAGGCTACAGAGGGGCAGAGCAGAAGGCAAAAAATAACTCTTGATTTCAACTTTTGCAGCTGGCGACAACCTTGAGATCATTGACACAGATACCTGCCAGAAGGGGCACTGAAGCCTGAGAGGCTGGGAGTGACCCAGCTCATTCGCAACTGGATGGAAGGGAAGCTCTCCCTCGCTCCCATTCTCACAAAAGACAAGTTATTCAGCCTACTCAACTGCATTTCTGGACCCTTCCCCACCTCCAACACGCACACTTCTCTCCCTCTCCCTCTCTCTCCAGCCCAGCACTACTATAAGCATAAGCAATGACCAGGAAGAAAATTACTGAAACGTGTAAACTTGAATTCACCAAAAAATGAACATCAATTCTAGAATGAAAGCTCATTGTGAAAGGGATTTTTGTCTTTTTTCCCTGATGTATCCCCAAAACCTGTAACAGTAAATATTTGCTCAGTAAATATTTGTTGAATGAATTGTAAAAGCAAGTCAACAGAAATGTCTTAAATGCTTAACACTAATGGCAATCCACACAGCTAAATATTATGCAAACATTCAAAAATTTATTTGTAAACTGAGTGATACGGAGAAATATTTTATATTAAGTTTTTTAAAGGAAAGGAATAACATATTCCTGACGGAAATACAAAAACTCTTGGTGGGTTTATGGATTTTTGTTTTGTAGTTCTCCGTGTTTTCTGATTACAAATTACTTCCATTATTGTAAAGAAACCTATCTTTCACTTTTCTTATTTTTTTCTTGAGGACACATCCAAACCCAACCCAGACATACCACCTAGCCTGAACTGAGTGTACCAATGAATAAACAAACGCAGCATCCTACACAGTCAGTATAACGAAGTGCTCGGGCGCACGGACTCAGGAAACTATACACCTACAAATCTTATTTATCCCTAAATCATGGAGCCTGAATACTGACTCCGTAACCTAATAGCTGTGGGGCCCTGAGCAACTCACTTAGCCTCTATCGGTTTTAATTTATTCATCTGTAAAATGGAGATAAAATACTTCCTCATTAAGATTAACATGAAGATTCAGTGAATTAATACTCGTTTAAAACACTCAGTGCCGAGCACCATAGGGCTATGCAAGTGTCGGCTTCTATTATGATTCGATTCAAAATAAACACTGTCCGAACTCTGGTGAGCAGGGTGACGGATCAAAATCCAGTCCCCAGAGGCGAAGACAGTGCGAGGCACCCACAAAAGCAAGGGAGGAACCAAAACAGAATGAAATCAGCCTCTAGCCAGGTAGGTAGGTACAAGCAACACGCGGGCATTCGGAGGCAGGAAGGGTTCCACCTCGGGAGAGAGAACCCTCTAGAAGTCACAGGGGCAGCAGCCTCTGAACGGAGTTGTAAGAATGAGTGGGGACTTCGACACGTGGCCAAGACGCCAGAAGTGAGGGACACCGCAAAGGATTTTGGCAAAGGCGCAAAGTCTAAAACTGAATGGCTCGGGTCAACGGAACGGGCTGCAGAGTGTTTATCACACAAAATGCCACGAGAACGGAGGGATAATAGTAACCACCGTTACACCTCAAGGAACTAAACCGCAGTCCGGGCTAAAAGAACAAAGGTGTGGTTAAGAAAGCCAAAATGACCATGACCCCATCGCTCCCCACCATCTTCCAGGCGCCTACGCTGGAGGCCCGGCGACTCGCGCCCGGTAGACGGCGAACCAGCATCCCCCTCAGGCGGCAAGCGTTCCGCGGCAGCAGCAGGACGAAGCGACCCCGCGCGAGAACTACAGCTCCCGCCGCGCCCTGGGGGGCGGGCCCCGCCCCGCAGTGCCGCTTC